AACATTTTCTCTCACACCTCATTTAGAAGTTTTAGAACTTTTGGTTGTTGTAAATTTAAGTTTGTAGAGCATTTCTAATTTTTGTGATGTTATGAAGTAAGAGTTGACAGATAGCTAGTATGTTAGCGCCATTTATGAAAAGATGTTTTTCCAATTGCATTTCTTGAGTATATTTGTAAATGCATTGGCAGTACCCCGTGGTACCTTGGCTCATGAACTGAATTTGCTTCCTGCTTCTGGAAAGATGGCCACATTTGTGTTTGTGTGGGAAAGATGACCATAGTTATGCTTGTAACTTGATGCAGAGTTTGCAAACAAAAACAAAATTTTGCTAAATGCTTCTGTTTGTGAGAAAAGTTGTTGGCAAATAAGCATTTATGAGCTGAGATATCACTGTATAAATACAGGTTTATTTGGTTTATTTCTGGATTCACTATTTTTTTTCTGTCATCCTGAGGATTGAACTTGGGGGTGGTCTGCCATTATGCTATATACCTTTCTAAAACTTTATTTTGAGACAGTCTTACTAAGTTACACAGGTTGGCTCCAACTTGCATTATTCCTGCCTCAGCTTCCCACTATGGTGGGATTTCAGGCATGTTTCCCCTTATACCCAGTCTTAGTATCTTAATTATGGAAGCTTTCCAGTAAATATTGAAATTAGATAATTCCTTACAACTTTATAACCTTGCAAATGACTTTTTTCTAGATCTGTAGCTTTCACTTCTGTTTGAGAACTAATTTATCAATTACAACAAAACGGTCTTCAGGAGATTGAGATCACATGGACTCCATAAGTCCAGTGAAGGAGAACTGAGAATACTGAGTTTTCCAATCCTTGAACATGTTATGTTGCTCCATATATGGTTTTTTTTGTGTGGTATTAGGATTGAGTTCAAGGCTTTTGCACTGAGCTATATCCCAAGATCTTTTTTATTTTTTATTTTGAGATATGTTCTCACTAAGGTGCCTAAATTAGAATTAAACTTGTGATCCTCCAGCCTCAGCCTTCCAGAGTAGAGGGATTATAGGAGTGCATGACCATCCACAGTTTACTTAGGTCTTTTAATACTCTCTCAGTAATATTCTATTATTACCAGTGAGTAAATCTTGCATGTCTTTGTTAAACTTAATTGTACAATTTTCGTAAAGTTTTATGTTGTTACATGTATGGAAATCTAATTATATTATTATGGTACCTACTAAAATATTTGGGGTACCAGTTTTTATTCATTTCATGATTCTTAACGATTTAATTTTATAGACTGTCAAAAGCAGCAGTCTATGAGACACTGAGCTTTAGAACCGATAGCTTAGGGAACACTGCTTTAGAGACATAAAGTCTAGGATTGGCAAGTGCTGGTGAATGGAAGATCTCACAATCTTCCAAGCATTGGGAAAGGAACAAGAAGAGCCTGAAAGGGTGCTTGCTCAATTCCTCTGAGGGAGTGATCTGAAAGGGCTTGCATCCCTTATCCACACCTAGCTGCAAGGGAGGCTAGAAAATGCAAGTTTAGCTGGGTGACACTGGTCCAGCAATAGCTATTAATATGGAAGAACAAGAACATGGGTTTGGCAGGGCAACTATGAGAATATTATTGCCACTGATTTTTCTGAATATCCAAATGTTAATGTACATCCTCTCATTTAATGCATAGAACATAATTATATCTCATTAACTGAGTATAATGGCTCAAGACTCATTCAGTTTAATGGCTAGGATTTCAAGTTGATATGCAGTCTTCTTTATCATGTTTAGAGATGGCTTTTCATAAAATAAAAATTAAAATGTATCAATGTGTCACCTGTATCCCCTCTTCTATATGCAGTATTAAGTGATAGATGTGGACATGTCAACTTCAACAAGTCCTTACATGGAAAAGCAAAGAATGAGGAACATTGCAGTTAATGGTCCCTAGCAACCATCAAATGTGGAAGGATAAGAGTTGTGAAGACTCCTTGCTGTAGCTATAGAGTGGCTTTATATTGGATTCTGGTTGTATTTTCTGGGAAGAACAGTCTTGTCCACTTGCACAGTTTTGCAATGGAATGGACACTGCATGGTCTAGTCCATTTGAGTTTGTGTGGCTTTCACCACCTGCATCCTTTTGGTCAGGATCCATTGCCTCCCTCCCAAGAGAGACAAATACAGTTTTATCAAACCACTGTCTGACTCAGAGTCCAAGATCTTGGACTAAAGTGTTGGAGATTTATAGCCTGGCCCAGGAAAAAGTAATTACCATTTCCTTTCCCATCTTGTTATTCAAAACTTTAGTCTTTAGTTCAGAAATGTAGTCTTGTAGCTATATCCTCAGCTAAAATTTAGGAGTCCTGTTATTTAGAATGTAGTTAAAATATATGAAAATTAGTCTTTGTCTCAGCCAGTCGTGCTGTGTCTCTTCTACATCACACTGGCCCAAACATGGAGCTCACATACTTCCATGATTTACACTCTTGTGTAATCACATGCACAAACACAGAACGTTTTTTGATGACGAAAGACAATTCAGTTTGGGAAGATGGATGGGGTTTATATAACAAATGTTTAAAACTGTATCCGATTCTTTTAATAGCTTTATTATGATATGATTTACTTATAAAAAAAGGTACATATCTAGTATATATAATTCAATAAGTTTGGATGTTGCACACATCATGACCACAATCAAGGTAATAAACATGTATATATATATATAAAATTTTTTTATACTGGCAGTCGAACTCAGGACCTTGTGCTTGCCAGGCAGGTGCTGTGCTCTGAGCTATATCCCCAGCACCAATAAACATATATTAATAAACAAAATTTCCTTGTGTCCCTTTGTGTGTGTGTGTATGTGTTTGTGTACATTAGGAGCACTTAACATGCAATCTACCTTCTGCTACTGTTTGCATGTGGTTTGTCCCCTAACGGTACATGTGTGGAGGCACGTGTATTAGAGTCCCCAGAGTGGCACTACTGGGAGGTGGGGGGACCTTTAAATGGCAAGGCTTAAGGGCTGGATCCTGGTCACTGTGGGCCCCACTCTGGACAGGATTAAGATAGTTCTTGTGAAAGAGTTGCTATAAATGGTGTAGCCTGCCTCACCCAACTCTCTCTACTTCCTGATTTGAGATGTGACACTTCCCCCTGAAATCCGGTGTCATCTGCCCTGGGCCCCTTGTCAGAGACTGTGCAATGCTGTTTGGACTTTTAGCCTCCCAGACTCAACTAAATAAACTCCTTTACCTCCTAAAGTTAGCTTGTGTCCAGTATTTCTTTAAAGTGACTGAAAGTCGACTAGTTAGAAAATTGTTACCAAGTGGTAGGGTCGTTACACAACATACCTAATAATGTGGGTGCAGTTCTCTATGTGTGCATCAGTTAAAGGGCAGAGGTTGGGAGAGTTTGAGGGAGCTGGATAGAGAAAGTCTAGAATGTTTCAAGCAGAGTTTTACTCTCAGTGAGTCTGCTGAAGGTGCTAAAGATGAGACCAGGGAACTAGTCTCATGTGGAAGTGAGTTCTGCATTAAAAATGGCACTAAATCCCACTTCTGCTGTGGCAAATGCACTGGAAGTGTGCCTCTGCGCCCTTGGACTTTGTGTAGCACTGCACTTAGGAATGGAGGACTAGTTTATTTAGTAGATGCTATGTCAATACACTAAAGCATTCAGTTTGCAGCATGAGCATTATTGCCACACTTTAGTCATATTTCCAGTGAGGGTTGGAGCCATCAGAAAGCAGAGTGGAAAGCTTTGGAAATTTTGCATCCTGATGAGGGAAGGAGCAAAGAAAGGATATTCAGGGTACAGCCAGGAAGGCACAGTGCAGCCCTTGCTAAAGCGATTAGACCAGAAGGCAAGGGAGCCAAGAGCAGGAAAATCAGCAGGACAATAGGAAAGATGCATTCAGGGCATCTCAGAAATCTTCAAAGCAAGGTTGTCCTTCCCATCGCAGGCCCAGAGGCCTAAAATTACAAATTTGTTTGAGTCCTTCCAGGGCAGACCTGCTTCAGGAAAGAATGCTGGGGCACCCTCCATGCCCAGGATCACCTTGGGATTCCTGTTGCTGGCAAAGTGCCTCGAGGCCTTGCTGTGACCGGAGCAGGCCAAGTGCATGCAGCTCCTGCCAGCAGCAGGTGTGGTGCTGTCCCCTTGATGCTGGTTTGCAGGGATATAGAATGCTAGAGTTACAGGGCTGTAATGGCTTGCATCAAGATTTTAAAAGAAATTCCTGAGCCAGGCAGTGTGCTGGAGGGTCAGAGTTCCTGAAAGGAGCACCGTATCTGTGGAAGTTGAGCTGCAGAGGAAAACCCAGAAAAGTGAGTGACAAGCAACATACAAGACCTTCCAGGGTAGCCACTGATATCAGTGTGCAGCCTATGACAGTAACTTGTGGACCAGCAAAGCCACAGAGGCAGGGCTGTCCAAAGCCTGGGACGCCAGAGTTGGAGCTTTAGGTGTTCATGTCTGACTTGATGTGTTTGGGTCTTGCTTGGGGCTGATTATATCTCTCTGCTTCTAATTCTTCCCTTTTAGAATTGGAATGTCTGTACCTGTCCCACACTGTACCTTGGAAATATGTAACTTGTTTTTTTATTTTTACAGGTTCATGACCGAGAGTTTGCCTTGAGTCTCATAGGAGAGTTTGGACTTCTAAGCAATGCTGGAACATTTATGACTTTGAGGTCACTGGAGATGGAATGCATGCATGTTACACTGTGAAATGGTTATGCATCTTTGGGGAAGGGGTGGAATGCAAGGTTTGGATGTGGTTTCATGTTCTCCAAAGGTCTGTGTGCCGGAGGCTTGGTTTCCAGGGTGATGTTATTGGGAGCTGGTGGAGGTGGTAAGCGGGGAGCTTCATCAGAGGTCGTTTGGTGCCCTGCCCTGCAGAGGGATTAAGGTTGTTTATAAGAGGGCTGTTGTAAAGGGAACAAACTGGCCCCACCCAGTTCTCCCTGCCTCCTTCGTGCCTCTCCATGTGCTCCTTCCTCTGCACACACCCTAGCTATCAAACACAGGGAGTTTGCCAGAGCCTGTGCTATGCTTTGTGGACTTCTACCTGTGAGCTAAATAAGCTTCTTTTCTTTATGAAGTTAGATATTTCACTGCACTGATGAAAAGCTGACTAATGTCCTCCTTAACAAATAACTGGAGGTACAAGGCTGCATGGCAGATCTCTAGTATTTACTCAAAATATCTAACTAACTTTTTGATCTCGAACAACTCCCTATTATCCCCCACCTCCATCCTCTGGTAAGTGTCATTTTCTCTTCTGCTTCTATCAGTTTGACTATTTTAGTTAGCTCATATCAATGGGAACTGTGAGCTGTTTGTCCTTGTATGACTAACTTATTTTCACTTAACATAACGTCTTTCCGGCCAATACATGTTATGGCAAATGATACAATTTTCCTCTTTTTAAAGGCTGAGTAGTGTTTATTGTATGTATATATTATATTTTCCTTATATATTCGTCTGTTAATGGACACGTGGCTGTTTTCATATCATGGCCATGGTGAGTACTTGCTCAAGCAAGCAAGGGAGAGCAGGTAACTTTTTGAGGTTCTGATTTCAGTTCTGGATAAATCTCTAGAAGGAAGATTTCTGGGTTATCTGGTATTACCACGGGCCTGCTTGTTTTCAGACCCTCAGGCAGTCACTGTATTTGGAGATTCCACTCTGCTTGTCTTTCAGTTTGTTTGCTTTGTACTTTAAGAATACCACTCACTGTTGCTCTGGGGTGTATGCACTCTCTTTCTGTGCTCTGGAGTATTATTAACGCCTTATCGGTCTTGCTCTCCCCACAAGTGATATTATTTAGGAGTTTTGCTAAAGGAAGATAAGGTCTTTCTTAGAGGAATTCAAGAGCCGAATTTAAAATTATGATGCTCTTTAGCTCTGCTCTAGGTTGGTGCATAGCAGGGAAGGGGCTGGAAAGAGAAACGTAATGTATATAAATTGCATATAATTACATAGTGAAATTATAAAATTTAAGTTTTCTTCTTTTACAAATTTTATTCTTGAAAGGTATTTCCAGCAGAATCTGGAAAGCATAATGGATGAATTGAAACAAAATGATAACTTTTTCCTGAAAAAAGTGAATGAACATGTGGTGTAAATTAAATTCAGCTTACCTTCCTACCTATATTTCTACCAACAAGAAAACAGAAAATACCAAATAATAATAGCTAACATTCACTGAGTGCTTACTATGTGCTAGGCAATTCATGAGGTATTTTGCATATATAAATTAAGTAATTCAGTAATTAAAAAGCAACTCTGTAAAGTAGGTGATAATTTTGGTTATTTTTATTTTGTAGACAAGGAAACTAAAGCGCAGAGAGCTTAAATTATTTGTGTAAGCTCACACAGATAGTAAGAATCATCATAGAGTGTTTGCAAATAATATATATGGAAGAGAAAAAGAATATTAATCAGTACAAACATTTATAGTAGTACTTACTGTTCTCAGTGCTTTTGATATAACAATACTACTTAATCTTCATCTGAGCCTTGTACCATAGTTATTAACTGGTCTCTATTTACAGATGAGTAAACTAAGGTCCAGGAAGGTTTAGTAACTTACCAAAGTTTATACGGGTACTAAGGTAGAGCTGAGATTTAAATCTAGGCAGTCTGGGTTTGGTTCTCTTAAACATTACACTCTTAAACATTAATATGAGGCCAAAAAGGTAGCTCAGTGGTAGAGCGCTTGCCTAGCATACGTGAGGCCCTGGGTTTGACACTGACATTAACATTAACATGCATAACACCAGCTTGAATTATAAAGTTAACAAGTTGGTCTGATCAAGCTGGGGGTCCTGGCAGAGATTACCAGTATTAGGGATGTAAAGCCTGGTGAATATTCTGTTTCTGCTCCATTACTATGTATGTTGTGTTGGTGGAAAAAGGTTTCTATGGAGTCTTGTTGGGCGCATACATTCACAGCAGGGTAGGAGGACTCCTACGAGGAAAGGATTTGAATTACAGCAGCTGAAAATGAAGTGAGACCCTTGCCTGGAAAGTAAACACCAGAATGCTTATTCAAAAAGCAAAGCCTGGATTTGCTGGGCTCTCGAGAGAGATGCCATCATCAGGAACGGCCTGATCTCAGCTGGCTTCCTGTGCACGGCAGAGCCTAACGATGCTGACAGGTCACATAAACTTGCACTAATGGGTTCATGTTTTATTTATTCAGGTGCTGATTTGACATTGCCCAGCTCTGGTGAATCTATGGATTTGGAAACAAAAACTGGGTCCCCTTTCTCTACACTATGATGTTATCTCCAAACATGAAGGAAATCAGAAATGGGAAAAGCTTGGATTCCCTGCAGATAGCTTTCATAGTTTACAAGAATTCAAATACTATGGAAAGCATTGGGCAACATTTAAAACACAGATCAACGAGGTCTAACATGATATATTGCAAAGAAATTTCTGGCATGAAAAAAAAAAATCTCTTTAAGCAACACTTCCATATAGCTCCAGCTAAATAATGTAACAGCATCTTAAATAATGTAACCCACTCTTTCTAAATCAAGGATGAAATTAGGTATTTCTTCCAGGACACAGAGGATACCAAGAAACATTTCCCAAAATAAAAAATGCAGAGTAAATTAAAGCAGTGGCCAAGGAAGGCTCTCTTGTGCTTCCTTCTCCTTTCTTAAAAATGATTTTTATTATTGAAGTAAAAAATGCATAAAAGAGGAAAGTGGATGTGTATTGTAGTACATTTGTAAGCACATCTATATAGCTATCTCTTAGATTAAAAAAAAAATCAGGATTCAACCATGTCCTCAAAACTTTCCTGTCCCCTTTAAAATTCTCTCATCAAAGTTAATCATGATCCTGATAAAATTTTTAAAAGTTTAAAATACAGAACAGATCGATAAATGACATCCAACATATTTGTGTAACAAAAAATGATTACATGGTAAACACTTATAACTACCACTCAGGTCATGGAAGAAAACCTGGTTGGCCATAATCAAGTTATGGACTAACCAGTATCTCCTCCAGACTGATATTTGGAGCCATAACCTCCACTGACTATTTGGAGATAAAGTGTTTAAAGAGGCAATTAGGGTTAAATGAGGTTTAAGGATTGGGCCCTGATCCAGTGTGACTGGTGACCTATACCAGTGGCGGCGAACCTGTGGCACACATGTTATTTGCATTTCTTTTAAGTCAAAACATGTTAATATACAAATTGCATTTTTCTGCATGAAAACCTCAGTATTCAGGTTTCATTGCAATGTTGGCACTTGTGATAAATAATTGGGTTTTGGATTACAGCCTGGGCACTCCTCTCTAAAAGATTTACCATCATTGTAGGAAGAGGAGGAAACACCAGGGAGAATCTTGTATGTGAAGAGACAGCATGTGAAAAGAAAAAGACATGTGAAGAGACAGCAAGAAGGTAACTGCCTATGAAACAGAGGAAATCCTTGAGAAATTGACCCTGCTGACACCTTGATCTTGGGCTTTCAGCCTGTGGAACTGTGATAAAATGAATCTTGTGAAGTCACCCAGTCTGTGGTATTTTGCCAAGGAAGCCCTTGCCAGGTAATCCAGCCCCTCCGCCCCCAAGCATCATCATATGCCCCATCTTAAAATGAGCCTCTGCCACCTTCTCTGGATAGGTAAACTAAATTCAGCTTATGTAAAAATTATTTTCTTACTTTGCTTTATAGTTTTATCATTATATTGTAGGGACTGTGTAATCCCTACAATAAAGTTTTGCCTACTTTAAAAAAAAATATCATTTAAGCCTGTTTTCATAGAAAAGTTTCCATTGTAGAAGCTATTACATTTTACTTGAAACTTGTATTTGTTGAAGACTGTTCTGGGAGTGTTTCCCACTAGGAAGTAATATGATCAAAACTTTCAAACTTGAACTTAAGTCAATAAATCCAAATGCCAAATTTATAGGAAATTCAGGGAACACTAGGAGTTGTTCAAATACTAGTTTTTGCAGAAACTGACAAGCCAATACTAAATTTATAGAGAGAAATCCTAAAATTTATATAGAAATGTAAGCAATCCAGAATAGCCAGAGAAGAACAAAGTTGAAAGACACACTTCCTGATTGAAAAACTTACTACAATGCTATAGCAAATAAGACTGTGATATGAGTGTAATGATAGATAAATATTAATGGGTGATTACATAAGGGTCAATTAACTTTCATGAGTGTCAAGATTCTACAATGTACAAGAATACAACAAACGGTATGGAGGTGACTGAATATTTACTTGTGAAAGTATGAACTTGGATCTCTTATACTATATACAAAAATTAAAAATGGAATATATACTTAAATTTGAAATCTAAAATAAAAAACTGCTAGAAGAAAACAAGAGTAAATGCTGTGATTTGAGACTAGGTTCATAGTTTTTTAGCTATGACAACAAAAGCAGAAGTGACAATATAAAAATAATAGGACTTCATCAACATTAAGAACTGTGGAGCATCAAAAGACTGCAAACATGTGCTCATAAAAACAGAAAAGAAAAAAGACATCAATAGAATGAGGAGGCAAACCACAGAATGGGAGAAAAACTTCACAAATCACCTCTCTGATAAGGTATTAATAGCTAGAATATATAAAGAACTCATACAACTCAACAACAAAAACCAATTTAAAAAGTCAAATGACTTGAATAGACATTTCTCTAAGGGAAGTATTCAAATGGACAATCAGCACATAAGTAGGTACTTGATATCATTCACACTAAGAGAAATGTAAATCAATGCTACAATGAGGTACCATTTCACACCTAGCTGGATATAATAAAAAAAACCACACATATTAATGAGGATGTGGAGAGATTGCAGTCCTCATACTTTGCTGATGAAATTTTAAATTTGTGTAGGCATTTTGGAAAATACTTTCAAGGTTCCTCAAAAGTTTCAGTGCAGAGTTAAAGGAAACACATGTCCATAGAAAGGACACACAAAATCTTGTCCGTGAATGTTCACAGTGGGATTATTCGTAATAGCCACAAAATGGGAGAACCCCAAATATCCTACTGATACTGACATGTGTTTTATTCCTACAATAGATTACTATTCACCAACCAGAAGTAGTATGGACGAACCCTGAAAGAATTATAATAAGTGAAAAACTAGTTACAATGTTCACATAGTGAACGATATGCTTTGTATGAAATGCCCGGAAGGGTCAAATCCATAGAAACAGAGAGCAGAGAAGGGACAGATAGTCTGGGTGGAGGGAGAGTGGGTGTAACTGTGGGTATGGAGTGCCTTCGAGGGTGACAAAAGTGTCCAAGTACCTAATGATCACAAGTGTCACTTCTAGCTTGCTGCCGTCAGGATTTTCTTTTGGGAAATTTTGCTTTGAATTTTCAGAAGTTTGTCTTCTTATTAACTATGAGTTGCCTTGGTGTAATTTTGTTAGGGTTTGTCCTGTTTGAGGTTAGCTCAGCTTTTTGAATCTATAGGATTTTCTTTTATCAAATTTAGGTATTTTTTTCACTTATTGTCTCCTTGAGTCCTCTTTTCTCTTCCCCCTTCTCCCTTCCCCCTTCTCCCCTGGCCCTTTGCCTCCCCTCCCTCCCCTGCACTTCTCCTCCTTCTCCTGCTCATCTCCTTTCTCTCCTTCTCCTCCTCCTCCTTTTCCTCTTTTCCTTCCTCTCCTTGTCCTCCTCCTCCTCCCCCCCCTCTCTTCCTCCTACCCCTTCCTCTTCCCTTCTGTCTCCCTCTCCTTTTTTCCCTTCCCCTCCTCCTTTTCCTCCTCCTCCTTCTTCTTTGCACTGAGCATCAAACCCAGGACCTTGCCTTGCCACTGAGCTGTAACTCTTGCCCTTTTTTAAAATTTTGAATTTGGAGACAGGGTCTTGCTAAATTCCGCAGGCAAGACTCAAACCTGACATCTTCCTGCCTCAGCCTCCCAGAGCACTGGAATTTCTGGTTTGTGCCACCACTCCCAGCTCATTCTGGGATCCTAATGACATGAGTTTAGATATTTAGCTTTGTTCCCCCAGTGTCTTATTTCGTCTTTCTATCCTACTTTCTCTCTGTTCTTCAGACTGAGTAGTTTTTTTCCTGCTCTCTGCTACTCCACTGATTGTTTCCTCTTCCCCCTCCATTCCATTGAACCCATTCAGTGAATTCTCTATCTTGGCTGTTTTGCATTTCACCTCTGAAATTTCCATTTTTTATATCTTGTATTTCGTTGCTAAGATTTTTTTATGATTTGTTTCAAGCATATTCATCATTGCTCATTTAAGTATTTTATCTTGTTCACTTTTAAGTATTCCTCGGTTTGTTTTATTATCTCGGTTATCTATCTGATTATTGGAATCAATTGATTGCTTTTTTTAAATTAAGGTTGAGATCCTCACAGCCCTAAATATAATGAATGATTTTCTCCTGAAACCAAGATGTTTTAGGTATTACATTACGAGAGTCTGGATCTTACTTAAGCACTATCTTAGGTAGCTTCCTCTGGTATCAATGATACCATGCAGCTGCCACGGTGGGGTGAGAAGCCTGACTTCCCCTCCTGCTCCTGTGAATACCTGAGCGGGGAAAGGCTCCTCAGTTCTACTGAGTGGGAATGGGAGATGGGACCTTTAATTTTTTATGGCATTGGTTTGCTCCTCCAATACCATGTCGATTAATAGTAGCAGATATCTCAGTTTTATTCCTTATTTTAGCAGGAAAAGATTCACTGTCACTATTGAGAATATGACAGCTACACATTCACATACATGTCTCTTATCAGGTATAAGTTGGAGGCATTCCTTCTATTCTTAATTACATTGATTAATTTCTTATTTATTGTTTTAAAAGCTAAATTTATTTTGTATTGCTGGGATGAATGCCACTTGGTCTGACATATTTTCCTTTTCATACACTGTTCCATTTGATTTGCTAAAATTTTGTTAGGAGATTTTGTATTTTGTTTCTGTGAAATATTGGTATATAGGAAAGAGAGAGAGAGGGAGAGTGTATGTGTGTGTGTGTGTGTGTGTGTGTGTATGTTTAAATAATGTCATTGATTTTTGGTTAATGTTGTTTCATAGAATCATTTTGGGGTGGTATTCCCTCTAACTCTTGAGAAGAATTTTTGTAGAATTAATATTACTTTTTCAAATGTTTGGTAGATTTCTGTTACCTGAGCTTCACTTTTTTATGCAATATCTTTAAATGTACAAATTCGGTTCCTCAATAGGTATGACATAGATAATCTATTTTTTTAGTGAGCTCTCATCATTTCAAAATTTGCCAACAGTCTAAATTTTCAAACATTTGAAATAGTTATTCATAATTTTGGCTTATTATACTTTTAATATATGTAGAATCTACAATGATGTCCTGTTTCTTAGCTGAAATTGATAGTTCATGTCTTATCTTTTTACTTTTCTTTTCTGATCCATCTGATCAGAGCAGGGTTTCAATCTCTGCACTATAGGCTTTTGAAAACTGGATGATCCTTTTTGTGGGAGTTTTCCTGACATGGATTAGCAGGACTGCTGGCCTCTACCCACTAGATGCCAGCACCATTCTGATTTACAGCAACAAAAAACATTTCTAGGCTTTGCCAAATGTCTCTTGGAAGTCAAAATTACCTCCGGGTGAGAAACGCTGGATTAGATTTTTATCGTTTATTGACCTTTGCAAAAATATTGGCATTCAACGTTATTGTTTTGGTTAACTTTTTGTTTTATACATTTCAACTTAGAATATCTAATTCCTCCTCATTCTTGTGCAGATGGAGTGCAGTTATAATCACTGTTCTTATATTCTTGCCTGCTAATTCTAACATCTGTACCAGTTTTGTGTTGGTTTTGGTTGACTGACTTGCTTCTCATTATAATTAATATTTCCCTGTTACTTTATTTACTTAGCAAATTTTGATTAGTTACCAAACATTGTGACTTTTTCTTGTATCATGCTGGCTATTTCTGCCCTGTATAAAAATTCCTAAGCTTTACTCTAGTATAAACTAAGTTTCATGGAAACAGTTTGATTTTTCTGGTTCTTGCTTTTAAAATTTACTGGGTAGGACCAGAGCAGTGTTTAAGCTGGAGCAGATTATTTTCCCTATGGAAGTAAGACTCTTCTGAGTGCTCTGCCTAATGCTGCATGAATTATGAGGTTTTCCTGCCTGGCTTGTACTTTCCCCAGCTCAGCGTGGGCTCTCATGCTCCTTCCTTTATTCTTTCCTTGGCCTGCTGAAGTTTTCTCATGCGTTTGTGCTGATCTGTACAGTGCTGGCTGATCCTCTACAGATCTGTCCTTGTGGACCTCTTCTCTCCCTTCTGGTACACTGTCCACAAGCTCTACCTACTTTTGCTTCTCCGGATTCAGTTCTGCCTCTAAACATTGGGAGTGATGCACACCTAGTGCGGGATTTTCCGCCCACACAGGGTGCTGCAGCCTGGAACTTCTCTCACTACTATAAGTTATCAATCACCGTGCTCCTCTTGTTTATTTTTCATATCTCAGGGGTCAGCCTTCTTTGTGGCCTGATGTGCACTTTGTTAAAATTATGTTTCATGTATTAGGGCAGCAATTAATGGCTGTCTCCCATGTCTTTTTAGATGTTGAACGGGAGTACAAGGCTCTGTAAATAAATTTAACAAAATTGTTTTTGTTAAATATATTTTAAAAACATGAAAAAGGAGTATGCTTTTAGAAAACTATCACTTACCAAATTCAGCCAACCAACTAGAACATACAAAGATACATCTAGCCACTAAATAAATTGAAACACAAATCTATGTGGAAATTAACATCAGAATCAGACTTGTCAGCAATATGTATAAATTATTCAAGGAACAGGTATTTCTAGTCTGGTTCTTTAGCTTCAAAGATTATAGAGAACAAAAGATGGAAACATTCTCTCTAATTCATTTTACTTTACTAATATAATATTGGCACCAAGAACATTCAAAGGAAATAAGGAAAAAGAGGTTTGCTTTGTTTTGTTTTTAGTACTGGGATTGAACCTGGGAGTTGTTCCTCTGAGCTATGTCTCCATCCCTTTTTATATTTTATTTTGAGATGGGTCTTGCTAGGCTGCCAAGTAGCTGGGATATTATAGGCATGCACCATTGCATCCATCTATACCAGCTCTTTTTGTTTTTGTGTTTGAAACAGTGCCTCACTAAGTTGCCTATGCTGAGCAGTCAGTCAGTGTTTTAAATCAACTTTGCTTTGAACACAGATGCACAAAATCCAAACCTAGCAATGTATATTTTTTAAAAATTTAGATTTTGGCCTGGGGAGATAGCTCAGCAGCACAGTGCCTGTCTGGCAAGTGCAAGGTCCTGAATTTGATTTCAGGTACCAAAGAAAATTTAGGGGCTGGGGATTTAGCTCAGTGGCAAAACGCCTGCCTGGCAAGCACAAGGTCGTGAGTTCAGTTCCTGGTACCGGAGGAAGAAAAAAAAAACAACAAAAAAGAAAATTTAGATTTAATTATATTAGTGTGCCTCATATTCTTCATAGTCTGTTGTTATATGTAGAGTAAAACCCAATATCCTCATCATCTCTCACAAGACCCCATTTTACTTTTTCTCTCTTGTCCCTCTGCCTTCTCCTCTTGTGTCCTGTTCATCCCATCCTCCAGTTACACTCTCATACACAAGTGGTTACTGTAGGATTTTACACTGGCTCTTTGGAACACATTAATTATTGTTTTTAAGTATGCTTTCTGACCCTCTCTTTTTCTATTCAGGTCTCCCATAATACTTTTTTTTTTTTTTTTTGTCTTTTTGACACAGGGTTTTACTATGCAGTTCAGTGTGGCCTTGAGCTCACTTTGTAGCCCAGACTGGTCTCCAAATTGCAACAATCCTCCTGCCTCAGCCTCCGGAGTGCTGGGATTACAGGCGTGTACCACCATGCCCAGCTTCCTATAATACTTACATGGGTCTGCTTGATATTGCCCCACATATCTCACCTCATTATTTTCTTCTTGCTCATCAGACTTAATAATTTCAAATGAACTATGTTGAAATTCACTGATTCTTTTTTCTGCCTGTTTGCATCTGCTTTTGAATTTGTCCAATGAATTTTTCAATTCAGTTATTGTATTTTTCAACTCTAGAACATGTTTTGGTTCTGTTAATAATTCCTCTTTTTTTCTGTTCTCATTTGATTTATACTGTGTATTTTTCCAGTTCTCTTGAATTCTTTGTTCATGTTTCTATTGAGGTATTTAAGCATATTTAACACAGTTATTTTAAAGCCTTTGCTAGGTAAATCTGATGCACTTGTTTCTTCAGAGAGTTTCTGGAGGTTTATTTGTTCCTTTGAATGGGCCATGTTTTCCTGTATCCTTTTGCATTTTGAAATTTTGTTAAAGATTGGGCATTAGAGAGAGCAATCACCTTCACCAGTCTTTGAAGACTGACTCTGGTTAGGGAGACGATGATGATGAGCCTGATGAGCCTACCATAAGGTCTTACTAGGACTTTTCTGGGAGGCATCTTCCTTTGGCTAAGGATACTTTTCCTGCCAATTCCCCCATATGTATGACTGCATTGAAATATTTTACTTTTCCTGAATCTTAGCCTTTCTTCTTGGGGCCTTCGCTATTTTGACCTATTCCTCAATCAGTGATCTCTTTTTTTTTTTTTTTTTTTTCCGGTACTGGGAATCGAACTCATGACCTTGTGCTTGCCAGGCAGGCTCTGTGCCACTGAGCTAAATCCCCAGCCCCCAATCAGTGAGCTCTTGCTTGAGGAGTCTGTGGGTCTGCAGACTTCTTGTAGTTTTCACAAAGCATTGCTTTCTACGGTTTGTTCTAGCCAGAGATCTGGGTTTATTTTGGCTGTCTGAGTTCTGAGTTACGTGATACAAGAGCCAGTTGCTAAGAGAGTGCAGACAGGTTTAAAAGGAGCAAATCTTGTTAATGGAAGGAGAATGGGGACCAGGTCAGTTCTTCCAAATTGTGTCATACTGGAAGAGGATGGAGAAAGTGTAAATTTTTATAAATTTTTGTAAATTTTTTGTTTTTCCCTTTCTTTAGAAAGTATAAATTAAAACAGCACAAAATTTCCCAGTGGTTGTGACTGTGGTTTTTGCTTGAAATGGCACTTGCTTAGTTATTGTAGATCTTTGGTTCAGTTCCAGAGCTCCCTTAAAGTTATTTCATTCAGTTTTTAATTATTTACTTAATGTGTCTGGGAAGAAAAGAACATCTGGAGCTTCCTAGTCTGCTATCTTGTTGACGTCATTCCTGTCCTTGCACTTTTAATTGCATCTTGGTATCTGCCTCAGAGACCACATATTAATACAGAGTTATAAGTATCTGAAAGGATTTTGCTGAAAAGAATTAGGGCACTGGAGATTTGGAGCAGAGTAATAGCATGATTTAATTTTGAGAATACTTCTGTTGGCTGTTCTCTTGAGGCTGGCCTGAATGGTACCAATGGAAAAAATAAATAAACGAGTTAGGACACTATTTCAATAATCCAGGCAAAAAATAATGGTGCATTGTATCATAGTTGTCTCAGGGGATTCTGTCTTAGACAGATTCTTGATGTATTTCATAGGTAGTGGTGATAGGGTCTGCTGACAGATAGGACATTAAAGAAAAGTCAGCAACTAGGAGGTTAGAATTGCCAATGATTGAGACATAGAGTATGAGAAAGTGCAAATATCGTGCTCTTTTTAAGCTTAGCAATTTTCAAATGTCCATTACATGTATAATAGGAATTCATATGTGTCTTTAAAGTGCAGCAGAATCCACATGGCGAAGTGAATTTGGATAGTAAAATGATGACACTCAAACCTATGAGACTGGATAGAGTTTCACAAGGAAGTAAGTATAGACAGAATAAACAATTTATCCAAGGAAGGGACACTGGGATATTCCAATGTTTCCAGCTCAAGAAGACAAGAAACCAGCAAAGAATGTTAATGAAAAAAGTCACTTAAAGGCATCCACAAAAAACTTGTTTTTGCAATTTATGTCCTTGAGAAAACTAAGCTGCAATTGCTCTAATGAACATAAACAAATTCCATGAGGTTTTGTAGTATTTTCATACAGCTCATTCACAGTCACGTTAGCAGCTACAGGACTAAACCCTGCCAACCAAATATGTTATAAAAATGCACCACTTACATTTCAGAGAAATAGTGTTTTAAATCAAATTGATTCATGAAATTAACCATTCCAGGTCCATCCTCCATCAACTTGACACCCATAAGCATCTCCTTAGACCATCTTGAAGCTTCAAATGAAGACAGTGGCAAGGTGCTAATTCTGCCTAACATGATACAACGGATCTGCGTACAACTGAGAATGTACCAATTCCTGCTCCAGAAGAGGAGCTAAGGTCTTTGATATTTACTCTTCTATTTGATAGGCAATAATTTAAAGACTATGATGTAAGATTAACAATACTTAAATGCTGATAAATTAAATACACTTGCTAGTACAGTTGCAGAGTGATTATTCATCCCACCCCCTTGATTATGAAAATCCTTCTCTGCTGAGGTCAGTCTTTGGTGAAAATTCACATGAATCACAAATATCTTCAGATTTTCTTTAACACATCCATAAAAGTTTGTCTGCATAGTTCTTTCCTGTGTTTCCTTGTTACCAGTTCCCCAATCGTGTTTCTTTTAAGTCTGTCGCTGTCCACTGTTCATGCCCACAGTCCATGAATTGGTACCATCATGTTGTTTCTCCTTCCAAGCAGAGTGTGCAACTGGATGCAGAGCTTCAAGTTTTTTGTCTACTAGAAGGATTCCCCTTCACTATGCCCTTCAGGGATATCCTGAAGAATGGGCACACTGCTGCAGGTGTCAATGCTTGGTTGTTGCCAGCTTACCATGCAAAGTCACCTGCAACCCAGGCCCAAATCTTCTCTTCTGCTGACCTCCTGATGGTCAGGAACTACTCTCCAGGCCATAGGAGCACCCTGGAAGAGAAAAGCCAGTATAGCAAGAAGGGGGACTGTACACATGTAACTTACCCGTGCATTATGTTACATGTGATTTCAGGGCTTTCTTGAGCCCAGTGTCATATATACCTCTTCTGTTTGAAAATGGAGAGTTGCTGAGCACTCCCACCTTCATGGTTTGGTGAGTCAGATCATGATGGGAAGCTCAGCTCACATGACAACTTAATGGCCCATAGTTAAAAATTCAGTCTCTACTAAGATCCAGTGGCAAACCAAAAGCTGCTTGTTAAAAGGAGATTAGTTACTTGCAGAGGGTGACAAGACTTTGCTCCAAAGTCTCTGGGTCCTGCACTGTGGCTGCCAATGGCTCCAAATTCACTGTCATTTACTAAGATCCATCTGCCTTCTGCACAGATGAACTAGGTGAGTTGAATGAGGATGTAGGCAGAATCACTACTATTATATTTTTAGTCATTGATAATGGCACCAATTTCTGCAATCCATCCAGGAACACACCATTTTTCCAGGTACAGGTGAATCTAGTGTCATTCCTTTGGCCTCTCCCATCGTAGTAAGCCGCATACCACAGGTCATGGAGACAGCTGATGAGTATATTTATTCCAATTATGCATCCTGAGACCAAGGAAATAACCACTGGATGGGTTCAGGGACACATGCAGCCCTTGTGAGATGGACCTGAGCTAAAGTTCCAGTGGTCACCTGCCCTTCATAAGCTCTTACTCTGACTGGTGGACCATAGTATATTTTAGCTGTCTTGGAATTCATGTCAGCTCAGAGACCAGCTCATATCTAGTAGTCTCTGAAAGGTCTGATTAATTCCTTTTACCCAGTGCATAGTACTTCAAGAGATCGCTTTGAGGAACACTGGGACAAAGATTTTACAGTACACATTTTTGGTTGTACACTGGGGTCTTTCTTAAGAGGACCTAATTTTTCTTTTATTCAAGGGATTGTGACTATGTAAATGGACTGAAGTCTGTGTTTATGATTTGGGTTAGATTTTTCTTCACTTGACCTAGAATTTTCCCACTTATATAGATCAAATAAAGATTTATTAGGCTTCCTATTTTACTTTTAAGAATACTACAACCAACTCACCATGCAAAAGTCAGAATAACTCTTCTGGTTGCTGGTTTTACTATGTTGTCCATTATGATAACCGTTCCCATGTTGCTTTTGATAACTGGGTATCCTGATTGACCTCTGCCACCCTGAGATCAAATTACTTCCATGGCATTCAGTGGCCACAGTTCTCATTGAAGACACAGCACAGAGGGAAAAACAATCACTGTGTTCTTCAAGGACACAAAGGCTCCCCCTGCAAATTCATTTCTGCACAGGGTGGTGAAGGTTATGTCTTCTGGACCTGTCCAGTGTGGTGAGTAGATTTTAAATGACAAATGTACTCTAATATTCTAGGCTCCCTAAGCCTAGAATTCCTTCTTGTACATTAATCCAAGGAGGTGTTTGGTATTTCAAATTCAATTTAACTCATGTTTCAGCCAACTAATGAATCAACCAACCAACCATCCAACCATCCAACCAACCAACCAACCAACCAACCATCAACCAACCAACCAACCAACCAACCATCCAATCAACCAACCAACCAACCATCCAACCAACCAACAAACCATCCAGCCAACCAACCAACCAACCATACAACCAATCAGCCATCCAACTAACCAACCATCTGACCAATCAATCATCCAACAAACCATCCAACCAATCAACCAACCATCCATCCAACCAACCAACCAACCAACCTGTTACAATCCTTTTTAAATCTGAGTAGCAAAACTTTCTTATTGCGACCTTATCCATAAATTTGGCCTGATACAACTTTATGCTCCTTTTACCATTATGTCATAACTTTAATATACATTCCTACACAGATTCCCTAGATTTCTGTCTGTATGCAGTAGAAAATTTAGGTAGTTCTTTTGAAGTATAACAGACATCCTCATGAGACATACTTTTATCTCATGTTTAGGAGCTTGGTAGGACTTGATTCTAGTTATAAGTCTAGAAGCAGAGGGGTGGAGTGGATGGGTCCTGAGGAGACTGTTTTGCACGGTAACTGCCTGAGGACAGGCATTACAGTTTCTTCAAGAAATTCACATTAATTCCCTTGGTAGGGGTGGGAGTTGTCCCTACTGTGAGGTGGAGAGGCCTCTTCCACTGGAAAAGAAGACTTAGCAAATTTAGTGGTATTATGGTTGATACATTGTGTTAACTTGGAGAGTCTAGAGGTTTGGCTAAGTGTCTCAGTAGTTCTACATCTTGGGGTAAAAAGACATGCCCTTACCCTTCTGGGATGTTTATTGTGTCAATTTAAAAAGTTTAAAAGGTTAACTGTGTGACTCAGCAGGGAGCCAGGGTGCTTACTTTATATTCATCCTAAGCCTGTGCAAGACCCATGCAGAGGGTGTGGGTGTAGAGGACCACCCCCAACCCCCCAGAGCTGGTAGGCTGTATTTAAAAAAATTACAAAAGGACTGGCTGCTGGTTCTTCCGAGGAGCTCCAGTCTTTGCCTTCAGCTTGGTCATCTCCTGTCTTGGGGTGCAGACTGTTTGACTTCTGCCTGGAACTCCTCAGCCTTCTGGTGTAGGCTCTCTAGCCTTCGTCATAGATTCTTCAACATCCCGTTGCAGACCCATCAGCCTCTTGATACAGACTTGCAGAGACCCTGCAGTGAGCTCCAGGCCTGGGGCTGGGCCCTTCTATCTCTAGCGTGCAGACCCCTCTGCACGCTTTCTCATCCAACTCTGTGGCTGACCATTGTAAGCCAAACTTATAAATTCTTATGCATTTGTATATCTTGTGTTATATCTATTTCCCTAGTAAACTGACTGTTACAAGTAGGTAATATCTTTACCTTCATCAAGGTCTTGCTACACAGCTCCATTCCAGTGTCTGAATCTTGTTCCTTCAAAATTAGTGCCCTCACTTTAATAGTAGAGACTCATAGAGGCTGAAGCCTCAACTTGTGTTGTAATTCAGCTGGTCATGGGATGAGAGACTGCATCTGATTTCAGCAGTCTCAGGCCTCAGCTCTAGGAGATAAGCATTTCCTGCAGTCACACAGGCAAGCTTTCGGGTAATTTGTGTGCTTTTTAAGCTACACACTCAGTCTCTGATCTTGTTTTTTTCCCTTTTTTCATTTTGTCCAGTGACCTTAGGTTCTATCAGCCAATTTTATCAGAGTCATTACTTGGCCAAGAGCATTTGAGAACCTCCTACAGATGATCACTCACTTTGATGCTTTATATAAGTGGCTGATTGGAAATACCCAGTGTAATATGTTGTATATCTTTATTGACAGTTCATTTCATGAACTATCATTGCTCTTTATTACTGGAGGTGGGTTAGTATCTTTAAACACAAGCACATTAGAAAGCCAATTTCAGAAACAATTCAGAGAATTCACCTCTAAGGTTATGCTCCTCTAGAAGCACTCTTGGTACCAAAAAATGGGTCATTTAATGTATTCCTGAGAAGCATACAAGTCCCCAGGTCTGTAGTGAACATGCTGCAGGCCCACAAGAACTGAAGGTGTAGTTCCAGCCTGAAAGCTGGCAGATTTATGATACAGAAAGAGTCAGTGTTTCACGTTGAGTCCAAAATCAGGAAGCTGCCCTGAGGTTTTGAGGCAGTCAGGCAGGAATCTCCTCTGATTCAGCCTTATTCGGGTCTGGACAGGCCTTCAACTGGTTAGATAAGGCTCACCCACATTAGTGAGGGCATCCTACTGATTCAGAGGTTAATCTCATCCAGAAATATCCTCACAGACACTTCCAGAAAAATAGTTCACCAAATATCTGGACATCTCCTGGCCCAGTCATATGTGTATTCCCCTCCTCCATGCACACACATGTATACATTCCAATAACATAAGTACTACCTAGAATACTTTTTCAGAACATATTGCTTGTTCTGGCAGAAAGGGCTTGCAGTGTGAAGCAGAGTAGCACAGCTTTATGTCTTTATGTGTTCCCGTATAGAAAAATGATAATGCATACACAGCAAGATTTAATACTTGCATTAATTTTCACTTAATTATTCTGTTCCCAATTGTCTGATTAATGACAGAGTGTAAAATTCTAAATAAAATCACATTTCAAATACATTTTCATCTAATAACTTTTCCTTGGCATGAAGTTCAGCAACGAGGGACATGTTTCCAACACAGGATTAAGTCAGAAACAGCAGGGGTCAGTTGGGAGCTGGGTAGGTGCCCCACTGTGGGTCTTAAAAGTCAGGCTGCAACGGGGTCAGTGAGAGCTGTGTGGAAACTACAGTGGACTCTAACATAGATATTATTCCCTCTATTTTACGGGTGGGAATTAAGCCATGTGATTTGACCTTAGGGTCTTCTCAGAGCAGTGACAAAGGTAAGGATCTAACTCAGTGGGGGACAAACATCGCTTTGTAGTTCAATACACGCTCCTGTGTCTGATTTAATGGCTTTGACTTCATGTTCAGT